TTGACCATTGCTGTAACCTGTGAACAGCGTGTTGAAGGCGTGGCAATGAGTGATCATATTCTTCATCCGGGCACCAAATCGCGCTGTCATCCACAACAAGTGACGAGGATATGCCTGACGGGAGATCATCAAATAAATAATCTCATTAGGTTAAGGAGCATTGGAGATATGCAGCTACCTTGTGGAAGACCGTTCTCTTGAATGTGAACATTAGAGACCATCGGTCGGCATTTTGCACGGAACGGCCGCGTTCCTGGGCGAAATCCCACTAGATAATGTGCCAAATGTCCTTTAAATCCTAACTTTTTTAGTTTAGAAATGAAGGCTGTTTATATACGATATCGTAAGCGCGAGTAATATCCAGAAACACAGCGGTGACTTGACGTTTTTGGCGAAATGCGCGGTGAATATCTCTCGAGATGAATAATATGATCATAGGTGCTACGGTTACGTCAAAATCCACATTGCTGACCCGGTATGAGTTTTTTACGATATATTATCCAGGCAAGGCGTTTGCCAACCATGCGTTCCATAAGTTTTGCCCAAGCAGCTGGTGAGCGCAATTGGACGGTAGTTGACTGGGTTGTGTGAGTCTTTGCCTGGTTTTTGTTATCGGAATTATTATTGTTTCTTTCCGTGCTTCCGGAAAAACATGAGAGGACCACAAGTCATTGAAAATTTTCAATATAGATCGAAGCATGCTGTCAGGTAAGTGACGGAAGAAAGCCTAATGTAGCCTCATCCTGGCGTACTGAAGTGTTACCGGTGGATTAAATCGCATGGCAGAGCTCTGAGAAAGAAAATGGTACATTGTAGTCCTCTGTATTGTCGGAAAGAGAGCGATGGGGACGTAAATGAAATCGGGGTCCCGCTTGATCTATGAACCCCGCTTTGTAATTGTCAGAAGAACTGCGATGTGCTAGACTTTAGGCAAGAGTTCTCCATGACCTGTGGTGATGATGTTACCAAAGCATTGTTGATTCGGAGAGCTGGATGAGAAATAGACGGCCGCTTTACCAGAAAGTGTGCGAACTTATCCCCAAATTTTGCTTGACGGAGTAATGATGTAAATTGCTGTAGGAAGTTTATCCAGGAACCACGCTTGGCGGCTCTTATGATCCTCCTGGCTCGAGTGCGTTCAGATTTGCGGGCGAGTAAAGGTGGAATATCGTGATCGCGTTGATAACTTCGAAAAGTACGCTTAACTCTCGCAATGGCCTCTTTAACGTCATCTGTCCACCACGGCACGGAAAGGCGTCGTGGTGGAGGTTTAGTCAGTGGAATTGTCGCGTTCGCTGCAGAATGAAGAATATGTGTGATAAGATCAGCTCCCTGCTCTGGTAAATCATAGCGATGATGGTTGGCAATACAAAGTTCCTGAAATTTGGTCCAGTCAGCCTTTCGCAGATTCCAACGCGGTATATATCGAGGACCTGCATCAGCAGCAATATCAAAGGTTGTATAAATTTTAACTGGAAAATGGTCGTTGGCGTGGACATCGCCCTCAATGGAAAGAAAGTCCCTCAATCAAAGAAAGTTCCTATTGAGGGAGAGCACAATGACAAGTCAGTGGATGTTTCCGTTCCAGTGGGTAGGTGGTGATAAGTATCATTGTCTTTGTTTAGCAGGACTAAGTTGTGTGTATCAATAAAATCGTCAGCCAAATGTCCTCGGCGATCAACGGCTTGGGTGCCGTGACTCCACGTTGGACTGTGAACGTTGAGATTGCCGAGGATGAGAAAATGGTTTTGAAATTGAAGAACGAGTTGGTCAAGTTGCCGTAGGAGCTCCGTATTATTATAATTTGGTATAATGTATATTGAGCATATATCGATGGTACGGCCATGCAGCCGAACTGAACACGCAACAGCCTGAAGAGGTGTGTTAAGAGTGAGTGGCGTGTGTGTTAATTCTTGACTAATGTACAGCGCCACCCCACCTTGGCGACGCTCACCGTCCGTGGTGTCACAACGATATAACGAGTAATTCGGCATTTTAAAGTCATATGTGTCAGTGGGACGATCGGACGGTCGGTGTCGGTGTTTGTACTTTTCCGTGATTGTCACATCAGATATGTACGAGTTGATTAGTAATGCCAGTTTTCTTGAAATCCTTCTGAATAGCTCAGAATTTCTATTTTTGAAGTAGCCGGCCCTGTGGTAGGAATCTCATTTTACTTCCTGCTCACTACTATGAAAGTAATACTTTTCATTCGCTCGATTTTTTCCAACGTGTGTGTTCTGTACTGCTCGTAACACACTTATGTGTCAAAATGCTTGTGAAACAAATGCTACGAAAGCTTGGAGCACACTATTGAGACAAACAGATATGCGAACATAAAGCTTTTATCTCCCGAATCTAACGAAACGTTATACCATGACTTTGATTTCGTTCCTATGGCGTAAGCAGAGTGACTCTTTTCGAAGCGCACCGTGGCTTTGGGAATGTGAGTATCTCTGGATCCATGGGACACACTGTTTCGAATTTTAATCAACCAACCTCTGGGTAACAGGCCCTTGCCCTCTGCACCAATCACAAACGTCCTTTTATTCGCACCAGCAGAGGTGCGCACGGTAGTTGTCATGACGACGGTGGTCGCGACTGTAGAAAGAAGGGTAGTGCTGTTACAAAGCGTCGACAGCGTAATTCGGACTCGAAAGTAATTTATAAAAAATAAATTAATGAAAATTGACATCCTTATTATGTCTTGGCGGGGCTGCACTGGCACTACCCTGTGCTATTATCAGACGTGACTAGTCATAAAGTTGCGATAGAATATGTTGTCTACTTGGGGTTGGTAATCATAAGACTCAACTACAGTTGGTATAAGAATCGGCTCCGTCCTGTGATATAACTACCTAATAAAAGAGCTCACCCATAAAACTATGACAGCATTATTTCTTGGTCAGCTACGCAACCAGTAGTACACCAATCCCACACCAGCTTGAAAAAAACATGTGGTTTGCTGTTTGAAGCCTTGTTTCGATGCAATCGTATACCATAAAATCTGCAAATAAATAAGGAGCTGATATTACAGATAGTGCTGCATTTATTATTTCGGTTTATGCTGTATAAAGTTGCTCGCAGCCTAGCCAATCAGATAGCAGCTGGCGGGTGGCCGTCAGCTCCATATTGCGCCTAGGTATTATGTTTACCAGACAGGTGAGGTCTACTGCCTGTTTGCAGCAGACATGCGTTTTTTCTATGCATCAGTGTGTTTTGCCGGTGTGGTCGCATTTCGCCGAAATGTAGATTTATGATATGAATTGTGATATAGATCTGCTTTTTCCTCCAGCTCATAACCTGTCAATTTCTACCAGTTTTCGCTCCAGTAGCTTCTGTTGCTTAAACTGTATGGTAAAGCTGCTCCAGCGAGCTGCTGCCAACTCTGATTTGGTGCGGGCAGGTGGGCGAGAGTCGCCAGTGGGGATTCACTGCGGTTCCACATACTACCTCTATCGGAACGTTCGTCAGGAGTCCAAAGAAAAGGGCTCCTTGTCAACACTTCCCATCGCGTACTCGGATAGACAGTCGTCTCCGCTTCCCCGTCGTTTAACTAATCGGTGATGAAATGCTGCTAACCGCTGTTTTTGATCAATATCAACGCCCAAAACCAGGAGCCGAAGGCTTTATTGATCACCTTGAATTGCCGAGCGTGACCTTAAACGTAGCAGGCAGTGCTGAACGAATAGTGGAAAGCGCCATTGACGATGGTCATGAATGACGTCATTCGTTACTCGGAAGTATTCCACTGTTCCGACGTCGCCATGGCAAGTAACCTGTTATGGACGAGACGTGCCACCATATCCGTTCCCATGGTGACCGATTTGGCTGCCAGCAACGAGCCTTCAGCACCAAATGAACCCCACAAAGGCTGCAGCCATCAGCCCCTCCCCCCCCCCCCCGCCACCCCATTGCCGGCCCTAGGCCCGTTGTCTGAAAGGTCACGGCTGATGGGTGGGGCGGCGTGCAGTGGGTCCGGCTGTGGGTCATTTGTGGAGTGGCGTGTGGGTCATAAAGGCTTCGCCACGGCGAAGCCTTTATGTCTTGCAGTGCTAAGCGGCACTTTAAAGGCCATAGCAGGTGGCGAACGGAGCTAAAAAGCAGTGATGAGTGGGTCACGCGATGGCCTGTCAGTTTTCTTTTGGCTCGGAATCTTGCAAGCCGTACTTTTGTTTTACCGGATGAAAACGCGCTGATGCCATTTATCCTGACTTTTGGTGTTTCCTGACGGGTAACTTTGCGGCATGGATATCATGCTCTTATCAAGGCCAGAAGCATGACGTTGTCTTTTGAAGCCACGGAACACGGGCCATTTGGTGGGCTGGTTCGATGCGATGGCTCGATTTGTGCACGATTATGGAATGACGCAAATAATGTAAGCCTAACACGCAATTTTAGCTTACGGCGATTTAGCGGTTCATTCGCTGGAGTTTTGTGTTAAACTCCGGGATGTCCTGGAAACACCCACGGCTGAGCGCAGTGTCGCGGTCTTGGGGCGGCGCCAGGCGCACTTCCCTGTTCACGCTGTGTTCACTCCACAACGCCGTTTGGCATGGCCAGCGGGCGGCGGCCCGTTGCGGCGACCCGCGGTCGGCGTCAGGCGTCGGTGCGGGACCGGGCGGGGGTCAGTGGCGCGCGCGCGGCTCCGAAGCCAGCCCGGGGCTGGGCGCCTGGCGTCGGATGGGCTCGAGAGTCGGGCCTCTCCGTCCGTGTAACGGTCTGTGACGAGCCTTCCCCGTCCGTGTGATGGTCTGTGACGGGCCTCTCCTCCCGTGTGACGATCTGTGACGGGCCTCTCCGTCCGTGTGACGGTCTGTGACGGACCTCTCCTTCCGGGTGATGGTCTGTGACGGGCCTCTCCGTCCGTGTGATGGTCTGTGACGGGCCTCTCCTCCCGTGTGACTGTCCGTGACAGGCCTGTCCTCCCGTGTGACGGTCTGTGACGGGCCCCTCCTTCCGTGTGACGGTCCGTGACGGATCTGTATCGTCTGTGGCAGGGTCTGCAGGCCATCTCGCCGCCGGTGACGCGCGAGTCGGGCCTGTTCGCGCTGGTGATCGTGCCCACCCGGGAGCTCGCGCTGCAGACACACAACTGCGCCGTCTCGCTGATGAAGGTGAGCCGATCTTCCCGCCTCTGACCGGGCAGTGCCCGACCTCTCTTCACTCGATCTCCCCTCACCCGACCGGGCGGTACCCGACCTCCCCTCACCTGACCTCCCCTCACCCGGCCTCCCCTTCTTGGGAGGCACCTGACCTCCCCTCACCCGACCTCCCCTCACTCGACCTCCCCTTGGGAGGCACCTGACCTCCCCTCACCCGACCTCCCCTTCTTGGGAGGCACCTGACCTCACCTCATCTGGAGGCACCCGATCTCCCCTCATCTGAGGAACCTGACCTCCCCTCACTCGGTCTTTCCTCATCGGGACGCACCCGACCTCCCATCGCCGGACGACACCTGACTCCCCTCACCGGGCGGCACCTGATCTCCCTCGTGGCGATTTTTAGAAGGAGGTTCAGCGTCACCTCCCCGCATGTCCCGCTTTCGGGCGCAGGAAGGGTCCAGTGGGCTGGCTACGGTCGCGGGGCAACTTCGAAGGGCGTTGCTGTGGTTCCCCGACACTCGCGGACTCGCGGAAACTTATTGCGCCTCAACAGGTGACGTCAGCAGAAACTTATTGCGCCTCAACAGGTGACGTCATCCTAATGGAAAGCTACCAAACCGTGCAGCCTGGTGAGCGGCTTGGCGAACGCTGCCTCGTCATTGCCTTTACTAGAGGGCATTAACCTACCGGGGGCGTTAACCTTGGGGTGGCGCGCGGTGCGGGTCCCGTGTATGGATGCTTCTTGGGTTTATGCAGTCATACGTTATGTGCTTGTGCGTGGCGACTGTTTGTGAGCAGGCTCGACCCAAATAGCGTGGGTCGTCCCATGATTGTCGAGGGATCCTCGTCGGCTGTGGGTAGCGTTGGGTGCTCCCCGGAGGCGTATCAGCTGTGTAGCGTGTACGTCTTTGTCCGCAAACTTGCTGTAAGTGCTTACGTCACGGAGGCCGCCAAACCTGCTTCCGGTATTGCCAATGTCCCTTCGTGGCCGATAAGACGCACATCACAGTACCCAGCGTAATTGCGGTAGTTCGACGCACGTGACGACCCAAGTGGTCGGCGTGCAATTCGGCGCCGGTAGGCGCGTGTCGGTAGTCACCGGGGCTTTAAGAGCACTGTAGAGTTCCACAAGCCACGTAGTTCCAGGGTCATGGACCCTCACGCCCGCTTGTGGCAATACATTGTCGAGCACGGACCCTCACACCTGTTTGTCATAATAAACTGATGGGCACATGCTCTCACACCTGTTTGTGGCAATACACTGTCGAGCACGGGCGCTCACACCTGTTTGTCATGATAAACTACCGGACGCGGAACTGTGCGCTCGCACACAATGCATCTCAGTTGTGACGGGCCCCCACAGCTGTATTCCAGGGGCTATATATATGGTGGGGCCCCTTACCAGAAGCGAACCATACGTTTCAAGGTCCCCGCTGTCTCCCGCCACTGACGTTGGCGTGTTGCAGGCGTTCGTTGCCCTGCCCCGCCACTGACGTCCGTGTGTTGCAGGCGTTCGTCGCCCTGCCCCGCCACTGACGGTGGTGTGTGGCAGACGTTCGTCACCCTGCCCCGCCACTGACGTCCGTGTGTTGCAGGCGTTCGTCGCCCTGCCCCGCCACTGACGTCCGTGTGTTGCAGGCATTCGTCGCCCTACCCCGCTACTGATGTTCGTGCGTTGCAGACGTTCGTCGCCCTTTCTCGCTACTGACGTCCATGCTTTGCAAATGTTGTAGCCCTGCCCCGCTACTGACGTTGGTGCGTTGCAGACGTTCGTCGCCCTGCCCCGCCACTGACGTTCGTGTGTTGCAGACGTTCGTCGCCCTGCCCCGCCACTGATGTTCGTGTGTTGCAGACGTTCGTCGCCCTTTCTCGCTACTGACGTCCATGCTGTGCAAACGTTTGTAGCCCTGCCCGGTACTGACGTCCATGCATTGCAGGCTTTCGTGCGCCTGGTGCCCGGCTATCTGACGGGCGGCGAGAAGACGCTAGCCGAGAAGCGACGGCTGCGGCGCGGCCTGAATCTGCTCGTGGCCACGCCCGGCCGCCTGCTGGCGCACGTGGCTAGCTCGCGCAACCTGCGGCTGGGCGCGCTCCGCTGGCTCGTGCTCGACGAGGCGGACCTGCTGCTCGACATGGGATACGAGAAACACGTGCGCAGGTCAGCCAGGGCGCGGGGAGCACGTGCGCAGGTCCTCGGGACATAGGGAGCACGCGCGCAGGTTAGGCCTTGCTTCCCACTGTGCCGCCGTGTGTGGTGTGTAGTGTCCAGTGAGCAGCGAGCCTCCTCTTGACTGTGCCCGCTCCGGCCCTCCATGCATGCGTCCGTCGGAGCGTGACCCCCCAGGTCCCCCCCCCCCCCCCCGGTGTGACATCTCGCCATGCGTCCGCAGTGTGATCGAGGCCATCCGAGAGCAGAGGGCCGAGCGGACGGCCGGCCGGCTGCAGACCGTCCTGTTGTCTGCCACGCTCGACGACCGCGTCCAGAAGCTCGCCGGTCAGTGGCGTTGCCATGACGACGCGGTAAACGTGTTGCGTTGCGTCATTAGGATCCTTTGTGGCGTTCGTCGCCAGGAATCAATATGTGTTAAGTGCTGCGCTGGCCATGCGTTGGGAATTGGCGACTGGTGAACAAGTCCTGGGCGTTCGACAGGACTGAGTCTAAGCGAGCCGACGTTTATTGACGTTACATCGGCGGGTGGCGACATCTCGGGAGCGGAGGGCGAACTAGTGACTCCCGGCCAGCTCCGCCAGTTCGTGGCGATCGTGCCCGCCAAGCTGAGAATGGTGGCGCTCGCGGCCTTCATTCTCTGGAAGTGCTCGGTAAGCGCATCGCCTTTGTAATACATTGGTCTCATTTGTCGATTTAGCGTGTCCACTAATCTAGGCCTTAGTGATCTCAAAGTAAGAAAGAATGAAGTTTGCTTTTGTGCCTCTGACGTTGCGTGAGGTTCGGTATGGTTCATTCACGAAACACGCTTCGAGCAGTTTTAGAGATGGCCAGACCTGTGGCATATGAATGGCTACAAGATCTGTCACCCCCTCTCCGACCTGCTGCCATGTGTCTGCTCGAGCCCGTCACGGTTCGTCCCGAGGCCGCCTCCGACGCTCGCCCTCCGTCTGCAGCGGCGAGACGAGGGCAAGCTGGTGGTGTTCATGAACACGCAGGACATGGTGGACTACCACGCGGCGCTGCTGGAGACGTGTCTGCCGGGCCGCGGGCCGGCCGACCTGCGGTTCTTCAGGCTGCACGGCAGCATGACACAGGCGGTACGCAGGCGGCTGACCTCCCGCGCCGCTCCGTGACCTCAGGCGGTGACGGGCGACCCCGGTCGGTGCGGGCTGGGGTCCGGCGCTGACCTGACGCCGTGGCTGTGCGGTTGGCCTGGTTCAGACGGTGCGGCGTGGCCGGTTGTGACGTCAGACGGTGTGATGTGGCAGGTTGTTGCGTCGGACGGCGCAGTGTGTGTTTTGTACCGACGTCTGGTGCGGTGTGGCTTGGCCGGTTGTGACGTCGGACGGTTCGGTGTGGTCGGTTGTAACGTCAGACGGTGCGGTGTGGCGGGTTGTGATGTCAGACGGTGCGGCGTGGTCGGTTGTGACGTCGGACGGCGCGACGTATGCTTTGTACCGACGTCTGGTGCGGTGTGCCTTGGCCGGTTGTGACGTCATACGGTGCGGCGTCGCGGGTTGTGACGTCAGACGGTGCGGCGTCGCCGGTTGTGACGTCAGACGGTACGGTGTGGTCGGTTGTGACATCAGACGGCGCGGCTTTACCGGTTGTGACGTCAGACGGTACGGTGTGGCCGGTTGTGACGCCAGACAGTACGGTGTGTCTTTCGCACCGACGTCTGGCACAGTCTGTAGCGCGGTCCAGCCGCTGGGATGCTGCCATTCAGGTCGTGACCCCGGGGCGCGGACCGGAGCCTAAGCCCCGGGCGCTATCCGACGAGCTGGCTTCAGCTGCTGGCTGCGAGGACTGTGCGTCCCACGCCGTACGCTGGCCCAGTTTGGGAGGCTCGGGGCTCGGTGGGGTCTCCTCTAGCCGCCGCGTCCCGGGCCCTCAGCGCCCTGATGCAAGCGCCATGGACCTGCTGCTACACCTGACCTGAACGTCGGCGCGCTGTGCCACAGGACCGGACCGGGGTGTTCACCGAGTTCCGCACGGCCCGCGCCGGGGTGCTAATCTGCACGGTGAGTGGTACCGCCCTCGGAAGCCGCACCGCGCCGGACCCGCTCGTAGGTGTGGCCACGGGTCTGACATTGGAGGGTGACAGATCGGGGTAGGAGGCGTTAAACGGAATCTGGGGAAGACAGCCTGGCTTGAGCACGGTGTTTGTAATGGGTAAATTGAAAAAGCCGTGCTACGGGCAAGCTTGAAGTGAAAAAATCCAATTTTGCGGAAATTTGGGGGCCCATATCGCAGTCTGTCCTCCAGTGGTTACGCTTATGAGCGTTCTGATGGACTACAGCATCACATCCTTGCTGCAGTCCGCCCCCCCCCCCTTGCTCGACGCCCGGAGCACTGAAACGCACGTGATCTCGTCATGTTGGTCCGCTTAGTTCTAGTCGTCACAATCCCGTCCCTCTGCCTCCGACGCGCCGCTGTCCATCACAACGGACCGGTGCGCGTCAGCACCCACGAGGCGTCCTGTCGCCGGACCCTGCTCCGCCCTGGCGCCCTCCGCCGCGCCCGTCCTCCTCTGCTTCGCTCGTGCCCCGCTGACGGCCGCTCCGCTGCCGTCAGGACGTGGCGGCGCGCGGGGTGGACCTGCCGCACGTGCACTGGATCGTGCAGCACACGCCGCCGTGCCGGCCGGCCGACTACGTGCACCGGGTGGGGAGGACGGCGCGCGCCGGCGGCGGCGGTGCTGCCATCTGTCTGCTGACGCCGGCGGAGGCGGGGCTGGTGGACGTGCTGCGGAAGGGCGGGCTCAGGTCAGTGGCGGATGACCCGATCTGGTCAGTGGCGGAGGACCGGGGCAGGCTGAGGCGGCGGGCTCAGGTCAGTGGCGGATGACCCGGCCTGGTCAGTGGCGGAGGACCGGGGCAGGCTGAGGCGGCGGGCTCAGGTCAGTGGCGGATGACCCGGCCTGGTCAGTGGCGGAGGACCGGGGCAGGCTGAGGCGGCGGGCTTAGGTCAGTGGTGGAGGACTGGGGCAGGCTGAGGCGGCGGGCTCAGGTCAGTGGTGGAGGACTGGGGCAGGCTGAGATGACAAGCTCAGATCGCGGTGGAGGACCGGGGCAGGTTTAGGCGGCAGACTCGGGTAGTGGAGCGGTGCTCAGTGCTTCTGGCAGGTGGTCATGTGGCCTGAGGACAATCGCGTTGTTAAAATTTGGTTGTGGCATCGCCGGCGTGTCACTCCAAATCGCTAGGGACCACTTAACGCCAGTGACGAACGCTGTTCTGCGCCTTCAAACAAATTTCTAATGTCGATTGTGGACCGTCCGACCCGTGCCACACGCTCTAGCTGCGGCCGGTGACTGTGCGGTACGGTACGCCGGCGTGTCCCAACCCTCCGCGGGCACGGAGAAGTCTGGTCTCGGGCCTTGCTGCGAGGGGACAGGGTGCAGGTCGAGCGACTCTTCACAGCAACTAGCCGGATAATGTGTGGCTCCAGGGGCCCGGCCTGGCCAGTCGTGCACTGTAAGGCATATATCTCCGCAGTCGCCGGCGAGACTGCAATGACGCTAGGAGCAAATTAAAGCACAATTCCCAATGGTGTGCTGTAATGCTTTCAGACCACTTAGAAGTGACGTAATCTCTTGTCTAATCTAGACGGCGTGCTTCTGCAGCGTTGCAATGCTGTCGTTATTTCACCGACGAATCTGTTAAGCACTGCCCACGTAAAACTTCAGTTGGCGAAAAAGCATATGCATGTGATAGGAAACGGGCCCGGCTCTCGGCGGCTGGGCCTCCCAGCGACGCGAGCCCAACCAACACTAGCGGACAACGGCGATAAAGCGGACAACAGTGCTGGTGAGACTGTGAGTTGTGACGTCACACTCACTCGCAGTCGTGCGCGAAACGTAGGTCCGCCCGCTTTGGGACGCTTTAGGGATTCTTGTCAGCCTGCGGCAACTAGCTCATGTCAAGGCGTGGAGCTAGCTGTACGGCGTGGTGGACCGTGTCGTCTAAGAATCACGAATTGATCCCAGCGCTCTCCGAGCTTGGGGTGTGTCAGCGCAGATGGGGAAGCCGCCGGTGTCGCCGCTGCCGAAACTGACCCAGTGAAGCATGCTTTGGTCTCATTCTGAACAGATCAGACCATGAAAGCTGCACATGTGCTTCGCCCAGCTGACTGTCACCAATATGCATCTAAAATATTGGCGTATTCCTCTCAGTGCTTTCGTCACAGTCGCCAAAAAAGCGACTATTCCAGATCCATTCACCTCACAGATTCCATTACCAGGGCTTTCCACGCCCAAAGTGAGTCGATATTTCAGCAGTAGCAGTTGCGAGAGTGCGGGATTCACATCGATTGACCCCTGCCCGCTAAGGTCATGGAAGGAGGATTTTCCATCGCATTTTACATGTCATACCCGTACTTTTATTAGTCATACCTGGCTTCGAAAGTCGACGGGCTATTTCCTGTATGTTTATCTATCAACGATGCGGCGACAACAATGACGTTTTTATCTCCTCGCTGGTCCCAAGCCTCAAAAGGATCTGAGTAGTGTCGGTGGTCCGTCCGAAGACCCCTGCGCTACGTCCTTCTCTGACCCTGTCCACCTTCTGACCCTTGTGACGCCTTTGACTCGTGCCCACCCTCTGATCCCCGTCTTCCCTTTGCCCCTTGTCAGAGCTCTGACCCGTTTCACCCGTCCCCCGTCATCCCCCTGACCCCAGCGACCCCTCTGCTGACCTGCCACCTTGGCTTCGCGCCGGCAGTGTCTCCGACCTGAGCCTGGAGGCGATCCTGGGCTCGCTGGTGTCGCCGTCTGCGCGCCGACCGGGCAGCGTCGAGGCCGCCGCCACTCAGCTGCAGCTCACACTGGAGGAGGCCGTGGCGCAGGACCGCCAGCTGCTCGACATGGCGCGGAAAGGTGCGTCACATCGGCCGCCCCGCCCAGGGTGGTGCGGCGCTCAGTCGGTGTGTGGGAAGGGAGGGGGGGGGGGGGGATTTCGAGGCATGCCACGTGGTGGGTTGAGATTTGCCGATCAAAGATATGGTGGCGGTCTGATGTAATGCTGATGTAATGCGTCCCATGTGTGACGGATGCGAGGAATTAAATCCCGCGCTTGCTCCGAGTCGTGTTCTTGCATAGCTCGGCTGGCGTGATAAGGCTGGTGTAAGCCGGCAGCCGCGCGCCGGCCCACTGACAGCCGGCAACGTGGCCGGGGGCCGGCCGCCCGGGGTATCCACCTCTCACCGCCAATCTCGTCGCTGACCTCCGCTGACCTTCGCTCCGATCTCGCTGCTGACCTCTGCTGACCTCCGTTTTTACCTCGCTGCTGACATTTACTGACCTTCGCTCCGATCTTGCCGCTAACCTTTGCTGACCTCCGCTCCGACCTCGTAGCTGACCTCTGCCGATCTCTGACATCCGCTCCAAGCTCGCTGCTGACATCTGCTGACCTCCGCTGACCTCTGCTCCGACCGCAGCGTTCACCTCGCTGACGCGGGCGTACGCCACGTACCCGGCCGAGATGAAGAGCATGCTGTCGGTGCGCACCCTGCACCTGGGCCACTACGCCAAGAGCCTGTGCCTGCGCGAGGCGCCCAGCGCCGTCGGCAAGTGGCGGGAGGAGGTGCCGTCCGGACGCCGGACGCAGCGGTGAGCGAGACCGGCGCGGCGCGCCCGCGGCGACGAGCACCGACGCTGCGCCGGCCCTCGGCGACCGTGCAGTGTTCTGTCGTCCCAGGCAGTGGTCCCGCCTGCCCGGCGTAGCCGGAGGAGCACGCGCCGCACGTCAGCTGTCGGAGATGCCACGATGCCGACGGGCTGTCACCCTGCCGACTATCCCGCCAACGCCTCGGGTGCCGCGGTGGAAACGTTTTTTATACAAAGCAGGACCGGCGACTGGGAATGTCGTGGCCTTGCGTGTGAGGCTCGTCGCGTCGGTAGCGGCCCGGCGCGAGGTGTGTTCGCTAAGCGACAAACCCCCGCGCAGCGAACCCCCGGCTGGCGCTCGTTCAGCGCCGAGCCTTCCCCGACCGCCGTCAGCCCCGCGCGCGGACCACAGCCGGCCGCCGGGCCGTCTGGCGCGCGGCGTGCACGGCCGGCGGCGCGGCCGGATGATCCGCCGCGGCGCCGCTGATCCGGCCTCGACACGGCCGGCTGTCACAACAGGCCGGCCGCGCCCCGGTCGGACCGGTGTGACGGCACGGCCGGCCTCGGCGCGGCCCGGCCGTGCCGAGCGGGCCGGGCGGCGGCGGGCGGGAGGCGTCGCGCTCGCGCGCGCTGGCGCTGGACAGGCGCGGCGGTGCTCTTTTCCTGCGTGCGGAGCGGTGGCTTCTTTCTCTTGCACCCCGCTGACGTCCGTGCTAGGCTGCACAGGTTGAAGCACGCTTTTTCGGAGCGTTACTTTGCTGACAATCCGAGCCCGTGTCGCGAGCTGTCCCGTTCCCTGACCTCGCTCCATTGATGCCCTTTTGTCGATTGCTCCCGTTGTGTCACCTGATGAAACGCCACTGACGCACTTTACCAGTTATCGTCAGTCATTGAGTTGTTCACCCAGCCGCCATGTTTTTCGTCTGCTGCACCGCTCACACCACAGACACCCGATCCTCCTTGCTGACGCCCCGTTCACATGCTGCGGTGGTGTTTCAGCGGCGAGAAGCGGTCGGCGGGCGCCGCCGCCGGCCGGCCCCGGGTCAAGATCCCACACCCCTCCGACCTAGCTGAGTTCCAGAGCGGCCTCGACGACGGCGGTGCGGCCCGCAAACCGCGCAAGAAGAAACCGAAGACCGCGTGAGCGCCGCCGGGTGGCGGGCGGGCACGTGACTGTGGCCGGTGGTCGTGGCGGATCTGATGGAGCGGTCACGTGACCGCGGACGATCACTTGCGGAGCTGAGACGGGTCGCACGACTACGGCTGGTCTCCTTGTTGGAAGCTGCGGGCGGCGTCACGTGGCCACGCGAAAAGAACTCGCCGTCGACGACAGATGCTCGCGTTTTCGACTTCCACGCAGGGCTCGCGCGAGGGAGACGGGTTCTGTGTTGAAAGTGAGTAGAGAGGGCGTCGCGGGTCCGCATCGGTCAGCGGCGGTAGCGACCGGACCGGAATGAATGTCGAGGACCGCATCAGGACCGCTGCAGGACCGCTGCAGGACCACCGCAGGCTCCTAGACGGAAGAGTGACGAGCCTACGCTGCGGCAGCCCGGGCCCATTGAGGATGCCTGGCACTGCTGATCGGCTGGCGGCCGGGGTGGGGACAGCCGGGGCGCCGCTACGGTGGTGAGAGAGCGCAGGTCTGGCCTGGCCGCCGTCGAGTGGAGCGGAGACTCCGGCGGATAATGTGGATAAGTGGGGAGGGGGCCACCCGTAGTGCGACACCATGTTGTTATTGTCGGGATCAGGCGTGCGTGCTGGCTGTGGGGAGTTTTTGTGCTGGAGGGTTTCACATGTCAGTGTACATTTACATTCGTCCACGAATCGTTGTGAAATACAACATATAGATCTTGTCCTCCGGTCTCTGTAAAATAAACTCTGGAATGAACAGTGGCAAACTCAGCCGAACTGGGTCATCGTAGCATCTATCAAGGCCTATCATGACATCAAGATCATGTTTAGAAATGTTAGAAGGTAATCGAAACGACCGAACAAGAGTTGTACAAATCGGAGTTCGTCTTCACAGGCCGCCGTGCTTGACCTCGCAGGCGGCGGTACGCCGCGCGCCCTGCCTGACGTACCGCCGCGGCACCTAAACAAGGCGCCGACACCCTCCCACAACAGGCCAGACGGCAAATCTGGCATGAGAGCCAGACCGCGCCGGTGGTATTTTGTGCCCTCGTTCGGTTATCACAGTCCAGCGGGGTTGAGATCTCGCGTGGCACATCATCACGCCTAGCGTGCAAGCCCTGCCCTCCGCCGGTACCTCCGTGTGTCGTCTGAGTCAGAGACCACGGCGCGCGTCTGGTCTGTCACCCCTGACGTAGGTTCGGTCTCACTCCTAACGTGTGTTCGGTCTCACTGTCCTTACGTATGTTCAGTCTCTCAGCCCTGGTTACGTGTATTTGATATCACCGTTCTAACGCGCTCAGTCGGCCGGTGGCTGCCTCGTTGGAGGTCTGGGCCGGTGTCGGTCAGCGGTGTGCGACCATCATGACGCGGCTCACACGGCGTGGTGGGCGCGGCTGGCTCCCGCGTCCGCCGCTGCAGTGGTGTGGCGGGCTGGAGCAGGGCCGGCCTCTCCGTCCCCCTGCCCCCTCCCCCCCCGCCGAGGCGCGGGACATTGCAAGGGTGTGGTGCAGCGTTCACATCACACGGCGACTGACGTGTGACGTGAGTGACGGCAGGCTGGGTCCGGGGAGCCGCGTCGACTCTCAACAGCTGACGAACAGCGGGGTTGAAGGGGGAGGGGGATTGGTGTCCGATGTGTGATGATTAATAGCGCTTCCAGCTGTTACTGTCACAGTGACATCTCTGAGGCCATTAGCGCCTGTTGTACAAGCGTTTACACCCACCACGTTGACAGCGAGAGCTAGTTGACATGGAATCGCGTTCGGTGCTTGCTGCTCGACTGTACCGGGTTTGCATCGTCTTACTCCGATGTCGGGAAGATAATGACAGACGGCGACACGGCGGGCTCGTTACCCAACCTGCACCGCCACCGCTGCTTAGTCTGTGAGTGAAAACGTCGAGAGCTGGTCCCTGGAGATGCGATAAGTTGCCCCAACGGAACGACGACAGCGATTGCCAGCCACCAGAGCTAGAGCGTTGGTCAGGATGACAAGCCATGCTTACCTGGCCTAATCACTGCCTCCCATAATGCTGCGAATAGTGGATCGGTGCGATTGGAGATCAGCCTTAACAGGATGCGTGCGAGCAAAAAGGGGAAACGACCTCGTGCTCGGAATTTTGATGTAGCTTCTTTTTTACTCTCGGAAACGGAGTTTGGGTTTCGTTGTATGACCGCCGGGGTTCGCTGGCATTAGGGGAAGGCGGGATAGAACGCTGCACGCGGTGCTGTTCTTCCATAGCTTCCCTGTACCTCCACGTAGTCCTCCTCCGCCGGCGCTGTTTCCGAGTTCCGCGGATCCGTGGCAACATATCCTCGATGGTTACCACTGACGCTGCCGGTGACGGCGCACATTTGAACCGCACGGCACGCCGCCCCGCACACAGCACGTGACAGCACGTGTCGGCCGCTGCCCAGCTCGGCCCCCACGTGGCTCGCACCGACTGAGCGGCCCGTGACCCGAGGGTGACCCCAGTGACACGCCACTCAGCCCGGCGGGCGTTATAGGACGGACCGCACCCGCACGCGTCCACTATGAATGCGGCACTAGTGGCGCAGTGCAGGCACCGCCCGCCTCGTCGGCTGCTTGGAGCGCCGGTCGCGAGGAGACCCGGCGGTGGCGCACGGAAGTGGACATCCTCTGGCTGTGGCGCGGATTCGGAGCCGGTGTATTTCCCAACGCTGTGCAGTCGTTTTCTCGTCTTCGTGTGCTCTGGTTGCTACAGTGGGACATATACCCTCAAAAAACGTCTAAAAACAGATGGATCCATGTCTTTCACGCGGTAGCGTTCTTTGCCGCACGCCTATCAGCCCCGCCATTACGATGGCCTGTCTTCCCACCGCCAGCACTGGTTGGTCTCATTTTGTTACGACGCGTGGTCGCTGATACGCAGCCCTACCTCCGACCGGCGTTCTGTAGCCTTTTCTCAATTGGGAAATCGACGTTTCCTATGTAACTCGCCTGGGAAGGCGATATTATATATTACGTATTATATTATACAGCAACGTTGTAGAAATTATGTGACGACCCGCACCCAAGTGTTTTGAAAATAGAAGAGTGCAGTTTATCAAGAGCTGCGCTAAGTTTTATCGAAAACGGAATAGTGTTACGATCAGTGGTTGAAAAGATCCGGTATCACCACAAACGTGAGTGGCCGGACTTGGCCAGGCCGGGCCGGGTCACTGATGTTAATAAATGTCTGGTTACTTGCTATTGGGATTCCCTCGCCCTGCGGCTTCGCCCGTAATAACCAATTTCGCACTCACGGTTCGTATGAAACCCGCTTAGTTTAAAGCGGAAGTGGGGCTGCTGTATAAAGCATGAAGAACGGTAACCATTTTTTTATTACAAACGCGTATGATGTTACCCGTCAGTTGCGCTGAACGCTTGATATATGTGCTTATAAATGCCAGTATCTGTATTTTAGCATGTTATGTTATCTAAACGACTTATCCTACTTGCTCCATTTTACTGCCTGCACCTCCATTTCTATATTTATGCGGCGCTAGTTTCGTTGGTTTTACGGTGGTTTTGGAGTTTTGACGTCAGATGCAAAAGCTTTGCTCAGGCATTTCCGCTCCACACATACGACCTTGCATGATAGCGGGTGGCGCGAACGGCATTAGCTGTTGACAGGTCAGGTAATTGATCACTTAGTTGGCAAATGGTGGAATTTCAAATCGTGGGTGGGATATCTCATGTAACGGGAGGACAAACAGGGCAATTTGTAAATGAATCGTCAACGTCAGAAACGAGACGAAGTTTCTGCGTTGTGATCTGTGATCTTGCAAGCTTCCGACTTCAATACCGCTGCTGAGGACCAGCTTACACGGCTGCAAACGGCTAGAAATAGCTAGGAAAAACGCGGCGTGCAGATTAGCACAGCCGACATGGAAAATATCCGGAATGGCTGCATCTGTGTTAGCACCTCGCGTAATCATTATCCTTGGCTTAGTGACTTTTTCGCCATGTTATGATCTGTATTTGTCTTATTACCGAGCGAAATGTAAAAGCAAGACTCGCACGACGATAGCTGTCCAACCACATACATATTTTCTGTTAATCATACATCATTCTCGAGATCTTGGGGGCCTCAAGAGCCCAGCTCCGGTACAGAAGTTTCACTGGTCGGAGGGGGGGGGGGGGTCGTTTAATACCGCGTGAGGATAAGCTGTCGGCCATTTCCGGCATTATACAGATCCGATTGGTCGCACACTGTGAACGGAAGTGCCGGCGGTGGAAACTCCATTGATGCGCCGGGCTACCAACATGATGACGCGTGAGTGACGTCACTCCAACACTGCGGTCGAATTGCCATGCGCTGGCAGTCTGCCTTGACGTCGCGCGGCGTTGTCTGACGTCATAGGGCAACTCGTAGCACGAGTGGAACGGGAGGCCAATCAGAAGCTTTTCTGTGCTTCTATGCGCAGAAGCACAGGAGCACAGAAAAGTCTCCAACCAAGGTATCTCACCCATCTCACGCCGTCCGTCTCACTCCATTCCTCTCATCCCGCCTGCGGACGGCCCGCGGGCCGGGCGGCCGAGCTATTCACCAGCAATTTCCGGCGGGTTACACGTCTGGCAGCCATCTGGCACCGGTCCGGCAACCCGCCGACGCGGCGCCAATCACGGCGCGGTTTGGCGGTCGCTCTCAGAATTAAAACCCAATTAGAGCGTTTTCGGCTTCGGGCTCATGTGAAAGTGATGTCAATCAGCCTCTGTGACGCCGTCTGGTGCGATGCATTGTAAACGTTAAAATGGGGGGGGGGGGGGGACGGTGTGAGGACAGTGACCAACGACTGCCGGAAATCTAGCTAATCCTGTCAACAAGAATGGAGCATCATGGCTCTCCTGTATGAATCGGTGCTTCCAGTGGCACCCAGCTGAGTCGGCGCCGCTGGCTGTCTTCTGGGAAGTAATGTGTTTCCACGCCTGAGTCAAATTCTAGACATTTGAACCTGCTGGATACGATCAACAGCATGTATTTTGCGATTCAATAAATAATCCCAACACTTAATGATGGCGGTTGCAGAGGAGAGTTCCCACAGAAATAGCCGTGCGTCACTACGCTACATGAAAATCGCTAACTTACGAGGAACCACAGAAAATTGCTAACTTGCGAGGCAGTAATTGACCGTTGCAGCGGTCGCTTCCTGCCTTACTGGTGTAAACTCAACGCGTCGCTGGGTTTTCACCCTTCAGTTGGGTCCAGTGTTTCCTCCGACCGCACCTGTTTCACGACCACCAATGCTCCTTCACAGCAACCTCGCGGACGGACATGCCCGGCTGGACGCTCGAACTGATCGCCGGTGGCTTAGGAATCCGTCACACTGTGTGCATGGCGGACAGCCAGTGGTAAAGACTCTGACGTCTCTACGCTGATTCTGGACCAAGGATTCTGAGTGTTCAGGTTCGGACACCGTTTGGAGCGTTCTGAAGGACCGCTCTGCATGACTCGTTACCCGCTCTTAAAGTGGCTGCTCGATAAAAACCACCGATGGCTAAGGAAGCCGCTATACGGTGTTCATGACAGACAGCCACCGGTAAAGATTCAGATGTCTCTGCAAAGACTCGGGACCGAGCGAACTGAGTGTTCCGGTCCGGATTCGGTTCGGACCATTCTGGGTGATTCTTACCACTGCACGGTCCGTTACCAGCTCTCATGGTAACTGCTCAAATTGCATCATATCGTGCCCTATTGTGTCGATTACTAGTAGTATCGA